TCAAGAACATTCCATATGATTTACTAATGGCTTTTTGAAAGGACATCAGCTAACAAGGAGGTGGATATTGATGTGGACACAGCTGTAGTACTTTCCACTGCTATCATAGCACTGAGGCTCAAGCATCCAGCACTAATTTACAGTTTACAATATTAATTGGATCTTCATCTAATACTAGCACTCTGATAGGAGGAAGGAGAAGAACTGATAGACTACCAGAGGAGGAGAGGAGAACATATCCAAGCTGCTTCGGATTAAATGAAGACATGAGCATATTTTTTCACTGTATGGGTTGAGCTACCCTTTTTTACAGTGACCTGCTTTTAGTCCCGATCAGGTGAGAGGGAAGGGGAGTGTCAGCGGAGGGGAGAGGGTTTCGCCCAGGAGTGTGGGAGAAGTCGTGTCCCCCTTTTGGGTCGGATCGAGGCACCCAGTATCTCATGCTTGGAACCCTCTCTTCTCCTCTTTCACTCTCTTTCCTTTTTGTGTGATATGGACTCTAAACAGAAGAAAGGATCAGACTTTTCTTTTCCTTTTTTGTCTCGATCCTTTAACTACTTAAAAGCAGGCAGACACTATACAGTTGAGCTAAGCCAGGTTACGGTGGGTAGATTGGTGAGGTTTGTGATGCAGGTAGTTTGATGAACCTGGGCACTAGCTTCCTAATTCTCATTCTGATCTCTTTCTCGATCCCGTGGCTTTGACTTAAGATCAATTGTTTAGTGTTTACCTCACCTTTCAAAATAAGTCAATAACTTTGATTGTAGGTTAATGATCAATGTAGTGTTAAAATTATGTGTGTGTGATCTGACGTTTTGATGCAAGTAACACTTTAAGTTGACACGATATTAGTGAAATCTCAATTTTGTGTCAAGTGTCTATTGTTATTTTATAGGATTCACAATTAATTCTTAATTTAATAATTATTCTTGATAATATGCACATTGTGTGGTAGATTGTGTATTAAGACTACTCATTATGTTGATGTTGTAGAGGTTAAAATATAGACAGTAGTGGTGGGAGGCAGTAATAGGTCATTAGATAATGGTACTGTATTGAGATAACTTGTCTTACATTGTGTATACAAAATAAGTTGTAGGTAATATAGTATGATGTTAAGATAGAAATGTATTTTAATATGGTATAGGTATCATTCTGTCATATTAAGGTTCATAGGTTAGTAAGTTAATGTAGGTATAAATATAATGGTATGGTGTTATAAGATGAGAATGTACTTTTATAGCAAGGTTAATATGGTATACATGTACATGTAGGTATCATTGTGTCATTGAAAGGTCATAGGTAGTAGTACAAATTAGAAGGGTACTAGTTATAGTGTAGGTTTAGCAGTAAAAATTAGGAAACATGTTGTGTTAGGTATACAGGTTATATAGTGTAGTGTAGGTATAATAAATAATTATAGGAAACATGTAGTTATGCCTAGAATATAGGTTATGTGTAAAAGTTAGAAGGTAGTTATAGGTATAGTGTAGGTATCGTAGTAAAATTAGGAAGCAGGTATAGTTATATTAGGTTATGGTGTAGTTATTGTATAGTAGAAATTAGAAGGTAGTTATAGTATAGAAATTAGGAAACAGGTATAGTTATAGGATACAGTAGGTATAGGTTATAGATCTAGGTTTTATGATTTATTATTATTAAATTATTATTATTGTTTATAATTTTTTATTTTTTATCATTTATTATTATTTATTATTATTCTTTATTATTTTTTATGATTTATTATTATTTATTATTATTCTTTATTATTTTTTATGATTTATTATTATTTATTATTATTCTTTATTATTTTTTTTAAACCTAGGCCTCAGCAAGAGTGTTGGGCCTCAGGTTATTCTAATTTTTGGGCAGCAATGTAGTGCCGCCTCCACGTGGCGCTGCCTGGGATCACTAATGGTTACTACTGCTAGTGATGCTAAGAGCACTACATACAAGAAGAAAAATAACAATACTAACAGTAAGTTTGTGTAAGGAATTTAATATTATCATTGATAGGTTCAAGCTGAAATAAAGATGAAATGTCAAGTGGATTGATACTCAAGACTGAAGCTAAAGATTTATATACTAGTTTAAATTTTTTGAAAAATAATTCTTTTAAATTTTGATTGCATGTATTTATGGCGATTTGAATTGTCATTGCCAGTTCTACAACTACTGCTGTGCAGCACGGCTAAATGAGCCACCAACACATGCACACATCTTTTTATAATGAATGTACAAAATATTATTTTGTGTAGAAATTCTATTAAAATTTTAATTTTTAAGGTTCCAAATTTATGTCAATATGTGCATGTATGATGTATCTATATTAGTTGAGTTCAGTAAAAGTTAAAATTTTGTCATTAAAAATGAAATAATCTTGAAGACTTTCCCGACTGCAATCAATAGGAAAGGAAGAAAGTCACTCCAGTCTCCTAGTAGTGGTATAAAAGGGCCAAACTTTATAGCCTCCTAGTTTTTATACATGACATGCATTGTTTTAACTGCTTTTATACAGTAGCTATAGATCTATACATGCACATTGAACCATGAACTAATTGCAGCCAGCCACCCACGTGTTCTCACATTTCAAAATGACTGCTCAAGCAAAGTTAAGTTCTTTGTTTAAAGAGGGAAAAGAGAAGCTATCCTTCCTCCAGACCCACCACAAAGAAGGAAAGAACAGACTAAGACAGTTTACTAGGACCAAGTAAAACCTGAGATACAACCAGAAATAGAAATGCTACTAATCATTAAAATGATCCTCGAAACCCTCGTACAGTATTTATTGGTAACATTCCTCTGTCAACTAAAAAGAAGGACATACTCAAGCTGGTCTCCCCCTTTAGTTTGGTTGAGTCGCTATGGCAACGATCAGTTGTGGTTTCTCCTGGTAAACTTCCTGTTGAAGTTGCTAGGAAACTTGGAAAACAGCTGACAGGGATGACTACTAATTTCTATGTTGTTATGGAGACGGAGGAGTTTGGAGTTGAATGGACGAGAGGTTGACAGGAGGCATATTAGGGTTGATCTGGCCACACCTACTAATTACATTCACTGTTCTGTGTTTGTAGGTAATGTACCTTTTGGGGCCGATGAAGAGACACTGAGAAAAGTATTTGAGTAAGTACATGTACATGTATGTAGTATTTACGTAATGTTCATGTGCATAAAATGTTATTAAAATGGGGAATTCTCTCCTTGAATTTTTTGGTCAAAGACCCTGTACAGGAGCTATTGCTCAATTTTTGAGTAACTTTAGAAATTTGTAAAAAAATCAAAACTTGATGGGAATCAGCTCAAACTTTCTACGCAACATAAGAACATGTATACCGTATGGCTAGAAAATTTCGAGGGCATAAATTTTCGTGTTTTAGTGAAAAGCTCTTAATTCTTTAATTTCGAGGGAGTTAAATTTCGTGTTTTTGCACATGCACTTGCATTAAGTCATTGATTTTCACATGCTGCACATGCACAGTGAGCATTTCTATGGTATTAATTTTCGTGGTTAAGAAGTTACCCATGAAATCCGTGAAATTAAATATCCCACGGAATTTTCTAGCCATACGGTATGCATCAGAAAATGTAATTAAAATGGGGAATTTAATCCTTGACATTTTTGGCGAAATTTGGCTTGAGACCCTGTACTATAGTATAAGGACTTTTGCCCGATTTCGAAGCAGCATTGAAAATTCGTAAAAAAATCCAAGCTTGATCAGAATCAGCTCAAAACTTTCTACATAACATAAGTACATGTACATGTAAAATGCAATAAAAATGGAGAATTTTCTTCTAGTCATTTTTCATGAAATGCCCTTTACTATTATTATTATACATGTATAATAATTATTTATAGTATAGGACTTGGTCAAATTTGTTGATCAACTAATTCATTAAAATCTGTTTTGATCAGAATAAAATGGTTTTAAAATCATTATTCTCTTTTCCCCCCTCATTTTATCATTTTCCTCCCTCCCCTTCTCTCCCTCAGGTCCTGTGGTCCTGTTGATGGCATTCGTATCATTAAAGACACTAGGACTGGCATTAACAAAGGGTTTGTTTATGTCAAATTCAAAGACAGCAGCTCTGTCGTATTTGCTTGCAAAAATGAAAGAATTGAACTAGAGGGATGGAAACTAAGAGTCTTTTGCTGTCACTGCGATAAGGTTGATCCAGAATGGCTTTATCAACTTGCACCAAATTTTTATCAATATGGAACTGTAAGTTAACTTAGTACAATATAGTATTAATGATTTACAGTCTTATAATAGCTTCTCTTAATTCATGTGTCAATATTAACATCAGTTTCTAGCTGAAAAGTTTTTTATCTTAGGAAAGAGAAATAGCAGAATCAAAGAAGAAAAAGTTAGAAGATTTGCCAGTTAACACTTGAAAGCCTTCAAATGCTGTATGTGTTTATTTTATTAAAATAACCAGATTCTGCTGAGTCATCCGGTATCGCATATTATAAGCACTCAAACTTTTCCCTCTTCCTTCAAGTCCACCACAATGCCTAATTATAACAATAAAGTCGACGTAATCAGAGCACATTTCACAAGTTCATTTCCAGACTACTCATACTGATGTGGATTGGCTTGTTACTGGCCTTGCCCTCCGAACTATCACATACACTTCTAATTGCATTTTCTCATAATCCACACGTCTATAATTCTCCAAATAGCAATAATTATGCATTACTGCTACCACAGATGCTATTGGGAATATCTTATGCTCTCACTGCCACAGCCTCAATGGAGTTTACAATAGCACAAGCTCCTATATATGTGAGAAGATTAATGGTGAGCATGTTCTATGCTTTCGTTTGGCATTGGTTTTTCCATACTATGATTACTTATATTTATTAATTTTTGGCACAATAATTTCCTTACCATCTAACAAAGAGCATATTGGTACTCTTCTCTGTGGTAGCTTTTGCAATACTTGCTAAACGTTACAAGTATCGGGTCAGAGAAAATGAAGCTAATATTTATGAAATAGCCAGCGATCATTATTGAAGATACATTGAGCAAGAAGAGCAGTACAACAAAGATCAGAATGTATTTTTTGATTCAATTTAGTGTGTCGTACAAAATCAATGCATGTAATCTTTGATAGTAGACTAATAATAATTTATTATTAATTTTTATAAATGTACTTGTATTACTGAAAACTGGGAGATACCTATGTATGTGTAGATCTAATTTACATTGATAATAAAATTAATGATAAAATTACAATAGTTATAGCAATACCTATGTAAATGTACATGTATGTAATGGGTATATTTATTTAAGTCGTACATGTATGTATATGTTGGTCTTTTTAATTTTACTATCAATGGTAATTACATGTATTAGTTTAATCAGTTGAGTGGTTCTGAT